GGTAAATTATAACGCATTCTGTATGGTAAGGCTTATGTTCAGCAGTAGGCTTTCATAGGCTTAATGAATTAATTAATGAAATTAACCGATAGACGAATCTAAGTCACGAACAGATGAATACATTACTTACGGGAATACAATAGCCTCTTCTCTTCTTCCTTGCCTTGCCTCTTTATTTGTGGTGTGCTCGCCTCGTTTTTATGCGCCAAGATATTCTTTCTTGGGTTATCTGTATTTCGAGCTGTGTTCGTTCCAGATCCTTGTATAGGGTTGTTCACCACGTGGCTAATGGGAGTCCTTCGCTTTTTTTCTCTGGAATTGCCAAGGCCTTCCTCCCTGGATGTTCTTTTTCCCACCTAGCTATATGCCCATACCATCGCATACGACTCTCGACCATCTTGTCGTCATTTTGCTTAACTTTAAAGGAGCCTCTGATGTACTCATTGCGCACTTGTTCAAGCCTGGTTACACCTGCCGACCATCGTAGCATTTTCATTTCATTCGTATGCATCTTCTTTTCGTGGATCTTCTTGGCCGCCCAGCATTCGGCACCATATAACATAGCAGGTCTTCCGGCCGTTTTGGAAACCTTACCTTTCAGTTGTATTGGCATCCTGCTATCGCATAGTATTCCTAATAGGGTTCTCCACCGTAGTCACGCTGCATTAACTGTATGAGTTACGTCTGCGTCGATATTGACATCCGCCACTAGCACTGAGCCGAGGTATTTAAATTTGCTGACGTAGAGCAGTGGCTGGCTGTCGACGGAGAAACTTATATTGGGCTTATATTGTTCACTAAAACTGCACCTCCGAAACTTGGTCTTGCTCCGACTGATGTGGAGGCCATTGTTCTCGAGAGCCTGTCCCCATTGCTCAGGTGTCGCTTGTATCTGAACGGGAATACAATAGCCAGTAAAGGAAAGTTTGAAAATCTGGGACGATTAGTAATTCTAATAATAATTGGGAAAGTCTACCCCAGGAGGGTACCAGTACCCCTGGAGAATCCTTCGCTGAGCATCCACGACCATGCTATTCCACTCCTGAGCGTGGGTGCTCAGGCTGCCCCGCGTATTCTGGGGGGGGGGGGGGGGGGCAAAATTCCGCTCAACACAATAACTACTCGGGGCAAACTGAGCAACAAGACCAAGGCGACCCCTGCCACGCTATCCGTGAATTTCTGCAACATCAGGGGACTTCACTCGAACCTAAACGCCGTCCACTACCATCTTGAGACGGCGAAGCCGGCCTTGCTCTTTCTGACCGAGACGCAGGTGTCCTCTCCGGCTGATACTTCGTATCTCTCCTACCCGGGGTACAAATTGGAGCACTCCTTTGTGCCTCGGGCTGGAGTTTGCGTGTATGTCAGAGAGGACATCTGTTCTCGACGCCTCGGCAGTCTTGAAGGTTCGGACCTGTCCATCCTTTGGCTACGCGTAGACAGCGACGACCATCCGCGCGTCTACGTGTGCCTCTATAGGTCCCATAGCGGTAATGCCGAAACTGACCGACTCATCGACCACCTCCAAATGGCTACAGATTCCTTGCTACAACAGGTCCCATCCGCAGAGATCGTGATCCTTGGCGATTTTAACGCCCACCACGCCGAATGGCTCGGTTCACGTTTAACCGATCATGCGGGGAGATCTGTTTATGACTTTGCCTTGGCATATGGTCTGACACAACTGGTTACATCGCCTACGCGGATTCCAGATGTTGAGGATCATACACCTTCCCTGTTGGACCTTCTGCTGACCTCTCATCCGGACGGATATCAGGTTTCCGTCGATCTCTGGATCTTCGGACCATTGTCTGATCCGGAGTGTGGTGCCACTCACGCTCCCCTCGCGGTTGCGTTCTGCAGGTTGCCGCCGTGTTTGGCATTATAGGTCGGCGGATTGGGACGGAATGCGGTCTTTCTTTGCTTCCTACCCATGGGGGCGGGTTTGCTTCTCGCCGGATGATCCCAGCGCTGTTGCTGACTCTGTCACTGATGTAGTGCTACAGGGAATGGAACTATTTATTCCATCATCTGTGGTACCCATCGGAGGCAGATCTCAGCCTTGGTTTGGTCGCTCCTGTAAGACTGCATTACGCAGTAAGCAGGAGTGTTATCAAGCCTGGGCTGCGGCTTCGGTGACTCGGGATGTAAACACCAGCACACTCAAAAAGAAGTATAACTTCGCCTCCAGGTCCTTCAAAAGAGTTATTGCCAAGGCAAAGTCAGAGCACATAGGCAGAATTGGCGAGAAACTAGTTCGCCTTCCTTCGGGAACCCGTGCATTCTGGTCTCTCGCCAAGGCTGTCCAAGGGAATTTCTGTAAGCCATCACTACCATCTCTGCACAGGGAGGACGACTCACTGGCCCACGACGCAAAAGAGAAGGCCGACCTTTTAGGCTCCCTTTTTGCGTCCAACTCGACTGTTGATGACGGGGGAACACACCGCCGACCATCCCGCGGTGTGAGTGCTCCATGCCGGATGTGCGATTCTCACAGCGCTCGGTTCGCAGAGCACTCCTCTCCCTTGACATCCACAAGTCGAGTGGGCCTGACGGAATCCCCCCAATTGTGCTGAGGACGTGTGCTCCGGAGTTGGCACCGGTTCTAACGCGTCTTTTCCGGTACTCCTACTCCCTAGGCGTAGTCCCGAAATCATGGAAAACAGCTTTTGTCCACCCGATCCCTAAAAAAGGCGATCGCACAGATCCGTCCAACTACAGGCCTATCGCCATCACCCCCTTGTTCTCCAAAATAATGGAATCCGTTGTAAACTGCCACCTCATGCGGTACCTTGAGGATCACCAGCTGATTAGTGACCGCCAGTACGGTTTTCGTCGGGGTCGGGGTTAGCTGGTGATCTTCTGGTCTACTTAACTCATAGATGGGCGTTGGCAGTAGAGTCCAAGGGGGAGGCACTGGCCGTTAGTTTGGACATTGCGAAGGCCTTCGATCGGATTTGGCACAAAGCGCTTCTTTCGAAGCTCCCTTCCTATGGGCTTCCCGAGAAATTATGCAATTGGATCACCAGCTTTCTTGCAGATCGGAGCATCAAGGTCGTTGTAGACGGTGCATGCTCCGACTACATGCCTATTAACGCTGGTGTTCCACAAGGCTGCGTGCTATCACCAACGCTGTTCAATGATATGTTGCAAGCTGGTAGCATTCATTGCTATGCAGATGACAGCACTGGTGATGCTCTATACACCGGCCGTGCCAATATTTCTCGGGAAAACGTCACCGAGTACCGGAACAAACTTGAGTCTGAAGTCGAGTCTTTGCTGGACAAAGTCTCGGATTGGGGGCGACTAAATCTAGTCCAGTTTAATCCTCAGAAGACACAAGTTTGCGCGTTTACCGCTAAAAAGAACCCCTTTGTCGTATCTCCTCAGTTTCAAGGTACTCCCCTTGTTGCCTCAGCCAGTATCGGAATCCTCGGCGTCGACATATCGAGTAGCGTGCAGTTTCGTGGTCACTTGGAAGAGAAGGCCAAATTGGCCTCTAAAAAGCTTGGCGTGCTCAGCAGAGCGGGACAGTATTTCATGCCGGCTCAACGCCTGCAACTTTACAAGGCGCAGTTTCGGCCTCACATGGAATACTGTTCCCATCTCTGGGCTGGGGCTCCCCAGTGCCAGCTTCTTCCACTTGACCGCATCCAGCGCAGAGCGGCTCGAATCGTCGACGACCGAGTCCTTTCCGATCGGCTCGACTCATTGGCACTGCGAAGAGATGTTGCATCTCTTAGCATTTTCTTTCGCATTTACCATGGGGAGTGCTCTGAGGAATTGTTCATATTAATCCCAGCCGCCAAATTTCACGAACGCACATCGCGGCAGAACTTCCGATACCATCCACACCATCTAGATGATTGGCGGTCCACCACTGTGCGATTTAGAAGATGTTTTCTTCCTCGCACAACTTCCTTGTGGAATAGTTTACCACCAGCGATTTTTCCGGACCGATACGACTTAGGGACCTTCAAGAAAAGAGCCTACTCCTTTTTAAAAGGCCGGCAACGCATCTGCAATTCCCCTGGTGTTGCGGTTGTTCATGGGCGGCGATAGTCACTTACCATCAGGTGAGCCGCATGCTCGTTTGCCCCCTCTCCTATAAAAAAAAAATTTGCTTTTTACGTTCACTAGTAGACGCAGATATATGTGAATATGCGCAAATCTCTATGGCTGATATATTTGGTTTCCTTATAGCTTTATGTGTAATACCTCGTAGAAGGATATTAAAGATAACACATACACCTACCACACAGAAAGACATAAACATAATTGCACAAGTGTTCAGACAAACGCAAGTCAAATTTATTAATACGGCTGTGTTTTTTAACCGTACTTAATTGAAAGGCAAAAAGGTAATAATTACCACAATCACACAAATTTAATTTGTTGAAATAGTAAATTGTGTAATGGTGTATATGGACTGAACGAGATAGTGATGATGGCTGTAATCACCAGAACGCGGGCCGACCATGCTGAATGCGTCAGTTGTTCCCTTGGTCAAAGTTGTACTTACTTAATCGGGCATTATGTCCAAGGTTACACAAATCGTTAACAACTTCGTGTATAGTGTTCCCAACGTTATGACATCCATGAAATCCATAACAAAGGACGAAAATTATGTCCCATGTCCACATGGGACATAATTTTTGTCTCTTTCTTATTCATTTTAAGCCATCCGTTTGAATACTACACTATTGAGGTTTAGGATGACGCAATCATCCTAAAAGTCAACAGTGAAATACAAGTCTACAATGAATTAGTAATCAGGGGCGACAAAACATCGCTTTTACCTTTATTTTCCATCTTTGAATTGACTATGAATCATATAATATAGGGATAATTTGTGTACGTTTGAAATTTCTTTGCACGTAAAAAATACCTGCATACATATAAGTACTTATATTTAAATGTTAAGTGATATGCAGCTTTCTCATTCTGGGTAAGTCATATATACACATAATATGTATTCTATTGTAATATTCAAATTGCAGGTACAACAAAGTCCGGTAACGTAGGGTTGGCGTTGTCTCAAGGGTTGATCCTTGTGAACATGGTGCAATACGGCATCAAGCAGGTGACTGAAGTGGTTTCTCAGATGACGAGCGTGGAGCGCGTAATGCAGTTCACGTCGCTACCACAGGAGCAGACAGACGGCTCGGCGCCGCCGCCCGGTTGGCCGCAGCGCGCCCGACTCGTCTTCAAGGATCTTTACCTGCGTTACGACATGGAAGCTGAACCAGTACTGAAGAATCTAAACATTGTTATCGAGAGCGGTTGGAAGGTAAGGTTATTTTTCAATGAGTAGGCAAATTTCATATTGAAGTTCAAATAAATAAATTATCATATACCGATGTTACATTATTTGAAAATACGAGTAAATAAGGCTTCTACTTTTATTTGAAATTATCCCAAATTGAATGTGATTTATGGGCAACAACTACTCTTATACGTGCTCCTGTGTGTGTGTGTGATTCAATTCACGTTTTCGTTTCTCAAGTTTTTACCTATTGTTTACTTTCTTAGTTACATGCTTACTACTAATGCTTAAGATAATAACTACATGACGCGAATTATGATTTCAATTTTCCTTTACAGAATTTTAACGGGCTTAGGATCGTTAGAATTAATAAAATTTAAAAAAATATAGTTTTGCGTATCAACGACGTAACCGACGACTATCCTCAAAATAAAATAAAAAAATTGAAATAAACTATTTACAGCTATATTACGCAAGTAGTCCCAATATCTGTAATATTGGTACCTCAAAATGAAATCCGTTTCTGGATGTGAATAACAAACACACTATATATTAAATACCGTTTAGTCACAACGTAAATTCAAAGTGGCAGATCGGAGCCCGTTGAGCGGCCCGTCGGCGTTGCGTCGGGGGCTTCCGCGCAGCCGGGGCCTTCCGAAGATTGCCGAACGGCCAAATAGGCCTAAAAATAACCCTATTGTGGATCCACAATATATTCTAGAAATCTTATTATGCGATTTTTTAAATATAATATATAGTTATTTTAATTGAATAAATAACCCTATTGACGAAAAAAATATTTAAAAAAATTGTGCTCTTATTAAAACATCAGGAATTTTTAACGTTGAAATTGGCACTACAGGTGCCAAGTGCCTGAGTGGTTAAATAAATATAGTTAACTACTCTGATTTATTTAAAGGCAATTAGCAGTCTTTTAGTACAAAATGCGATAAAAGAATAATAATAATAGAGACCACAGATATTGCCTTGGCACGGGTGGACTTTTTGAGAAAAGCCAAACATATTTGAAATTTGGATAGAGTCGTATTTCTGGACCAGATGGACTGATGACGCGGCACAATCAGTCACCAAAGTGCACGAAGGCAAAGGACAACGCCTGATAATTGCGCATGCAGGGACTGCAAACGGTTTCGTACCCAATTGTTTGTTGGCTTTCAAATCAACAAAAACAACAGAATATAGTGAGATGAATTACGGATAATGCACGGTGCACCATTCCTTAGAAAAGAACAAAGCTCCAATATCCAGTAGCAGGAAACTGAAACCTATATTTTTGCTACAGAGCAAAGCAATTGAAGCCAATGAAACCGTTGAAACACAATTGGTCCGATTAGTTAAAGAAAACAAACTCAGAAAGCCAACCTACATTTTGGATGAAATCGCTGAACAACATGGCCATGCGGTGCTTTGATTGCCACCATATCATTGCTAATGCAATGCCATCGGACGGATTTGGGCTCATTTCAAAGGTTTTTTTTGTCATTATACCTACTACCTACGTTTACTACATATATAGATACTTAATTTATTTTTTTAGGTCTTACAGCCAACATAACACATCGCCACCATTTACAGCTAAGAAACTGCTGAATTTATTGCAAAATTCTTGTGATAACGTTACTGTAGACAACTGGAGAAAAGTCGTGGAGTACACAAAAAATATGTACGTACTAGAAGACTGGGAGCGAGATGTCCACTTTGACAGAGTTTGTAAACAAGAATTAATAATCAACGTAAGAGACAGTTCCAGCAGTGAGCCTAGTGATGATGATTATGATAATGATTATAATAATGAACTTGATTTAGGTTGCGCACCATTATTTTAATAATAAATAACTTTAAGCTGCAATTCCTTGTTTTATTTCACACTAAGCCCTTTCACAAAAATTATTTCGACTTGCACGTATTCTACTAAATAGTCTGACTGACCGAATAAAAATATGCACTAGGCGAAATCGTTATTGTGCGAGGGATTTTATTATCGTATTAGTAATATATTATAAATTCAATAGATAAGAAATTGTTCAAAATTCCAAATCCATACAGCATAAACATGCGACTATCGATTGCAAGTTCAATGAGAATAATAATCGAAAAGATTCATTAACGATTGATTATACACTACCTCATCCCTACAGCGAGCTGCCAAAATAATTATCAAGCTAAATTTGACAGAGTACAGTTATTGTTTTTCATTAAAAAAAATACATATCTCGAAAAATGTTACATTTTCCCTGTTAATCGTAAGTTTGTACCAGTACCCCTGATGTCAAAGTTAACTTGTATTGGTAAAGTTGCCAGACTTGACTGTAGTGTTTATTTTTTTTGTAAGCAAATTAACACTCCTTTGAACGGCTAAATCTGCGAATTGTTTCTCTTCTGTACTGAGTATTATTCAATCCTATGACACCTAGCTATCGACGAAAAGTTTCTTGGTCATGACAGACCGGATAGTGTTCGGTCAGCCGGAGGACATACTCGCGTCACGTTGTTTTTGAAGTAAATACTTTAAGATATCCTTCACAGTCGAGGTAATTTACTTATAGAATGATCTTCCTCCGAAAATTTGTCGTGCAAAAACATTAGATAATTTAAGGTGGACGTCATAAATCACTACCTATTACTGCAATAATCACTGGTCATCATTTGGGATATTTAATTTTTGTATCCTTTCTGTAATTCATGATCATCATCATTACAGCCCTTCACAAGACCACTGCTGAACAAAGTCCTCCCCTAAATAATGCCAAAAAGCACGGTCCCCAGCCACTCGCCTCCATTGACTTCCTCCATGGCTTACCAGGTCGTCACTCCATCTAGTGGGGGGACGCCCTAAACTTCGTCTACCTAAACGAGGCTGCCCCTCGAGAACCTTTCTTCCCCGTCGGTTGTCGGTTCTTCGAGCTATATGGCCGGACCATTGCCAGCATCAGCATACTAATTCTTTGAGCTATGTTGTATACTCTGGCTCTACTGTGGATATCCTCGTTTTTAAGTCTATCACGCAGAGAAACCCCGTGAATAGCCCTCTCCATAGATCGCTGAGCGACTCTGAGCTTTCTCATACGGCCAGCAGTGAAGGACCGCGTCTCAAATCCATAGGTGATCACTGGCAACACGTACTAGTTGAACAATCTAGTTTTGACGTATGTCTAACGAGAATATGTGTCGTAATCTCCCGAACGCTGCCCAGCCAAATTGAATCCGTCGATTGACCTCTCGGTCGAAGTTGGACTTACCTAGTCGGACTATTTGTTCCGGTAAACATATTCGTCAACAACTTCGAGCTTAGTGCTCCCAACAACTACCGGCATAGGTGTGATATGGACGTTAACCGTGATTTTTGTTTTGTCCATGTTCATCTTTATACATATCCCTTGGGAGACACTATTAAGGTCACTAAGCATATTGCTTAGGTCCTCCAGCGATTCTGCCATAAGGACTATATTGTCAGCAAATCGAAGGTGGGTGATGTAATCGCCATTGACGTTAATACCGTATCCTTTCCAGTCCAGTAGCTTGAAAACGTCTTCTACCTCTCCAACTTTTTAGGATCAGTGTGCCTTTAACCATTTGGTGGTCGCTACCAGTTTTCACCCTCGCGATCACTGAGACATCACTGATCTCATTTTTTGTCGAACCGTCGGGGCTCAACCAGGTCCACTTCCTGTGAGGCCGCTTCTGGAAGAAAGAGTTCATCATAAAGAATCCCTCTTTCTTCATGAAGTCGGCCAGCCGCTGGCCCCTTGGGTTCCGTTGCCCTAATCCGAATTCCCCTACTTTCAGCTCACCGTTTTCTCTTGTGCCTAGTTTTGCGTTAAAGTCTCCCATTAACATTAATAAAGTTCTAGAAGCCAGTGTTCATAAGCAAATTTCCAATTTCATATATAAACATAACCTTCTGAGTACTTTTCAGTCCAGGTTTCATCCTGGTCACATCACTACAACTGCCTTACTTAAAATAACTGAAGATATTAGAAAAGGAATGGAAAACAAGAAAGTTACAGTTGTGGTGCTCGTTGACTTATCTAACGCTTTTAACACAGTTGACCATGATATCCTTCTTGCTATCCTTTCTTATTATAGGTTTGCACCGTCAGTCCTGGAATGGTTCTCATCTTATCTTCGCGGACGTCAACAGTCTGTCCACGTAGAGCAAATGACTTCACAGTGGGTTGACCTGATTTCTAGCGTACCGCAAGGCGGTATACTTTCTCCATTAATCTTCTCTATTTTTATTAATTCATCACATCTAATATTGATTGTTCGTACCATCTTTTTGCTGATGACCAACAATTTTATGTACAGTCTGACATTTGTGACATCCATAATGCGATTAACAAATTGAATTCCAATCTCAAGTCAGACCGTGATTGGTCCATGCGCTTTGGAATGTCTGTCAACCCTACCTAATGCCAAGCGGTGATTATGGGTAGCTCAAGGATATTTGCAAAAATAGATGCCGCTAGCCTACCTCCGGTCTATTATAACGGTCGCCTGATACCGTTCTCTTCCTCAGTTAAAAATCTTAGTCTACATATTGATAGTACTCTGTCCTGGGGGGTTCATATCTCCGAAACATGTCGTAAAGTCTCTGGTTCTTTACGTTCTCTTTATCGCTTGAAAAATTTTCTCCCCTTTAAGGCTAAAATTATGCTTGTACAGTTACTTATACTACCGATTATTGATTATGCTGACGTGTGTTACCCGGATTTAAACCAATATCTTCTTAACAAGCTAGAGCGCCTAACTGTGTCAGATACATTTTCAATCTTCGTAAATTTGATCATATCTCTCATTATCGCTCTCGCCTTAAATGTCTCACTATTAAACAGAGGCGTGACTCTAGAATTTTCTCTATCTGAAATGATCCATCCACTCCTTATCTCAAAGAGAAATTTCAGTATATTTCCTTAAAGCATGATAAAACTCTGCGGTCCTCATATAATAATAAACTAAGTATCCCACTACATTTTACTAATTTTGTTGGTAAATCCTTCACCATTCAGGCTGCACTGCTCTGGAACTCCTTGCCGGATGACGTCAGAAAAACATCTAATAAGACTGCTTTTAAAAGATTGGTATATAAGCACTTTATGAAGGTATTAGATGATAGTTAATATGGTCAATTTGGTTACTTTTGTTGTTGTATATTTGAGATGTTATATATTTATTTGTATTTATAATATGTATATATTTATGTATCTATGTATTTGTATGTAAATATACTATATTGTCTGTATTATATTTATAGTATATAAGTTTATTGTATTTATATAGATAATATTAGTTTATTTTTATGTTTATCAGTAGCTTCTTCCTTGATTTACTCTATTGTTTATTTTATTTTGTCACCTATCACTTGATTTCCACACGTCCCGGGTTGACTGGGAGAGAATGCCTAAAGGCATTAAGTCCGCCCTTTGTAATCCTTTTATTAAGGTGCAATAAAGTGTAAATTAATTAATTAATTAACACCGTATAGTGGGTTTTGGAGGAATGTATGGCTCTAGAGATATCCTAATACATTTGCTCCACCTACTCATCGGAATGTGCCGAGGTTGGTGCGTAAACCTGTATGACCTTCAGCGAATACCGTTTGCTGGTTCTGAATATAAGGTACGCAACCCTCCTCAACACACTCCCAATCTTTACAACGTAGTTAACGAGAGACTTGTGGACGATAAATCCGACACCTCCTTGGGACAGATGGTCGCCCTCCCAGTGATAGAACAAGTTGCCGGATTCGAGGATTACCGTGTCCTCCCACTCTCTTCGGACTTCGGATAATCCTATAATATTCCAGCGCAATTTGTCTATCTCTTCTTCCAAATCCAGGATTTTCTCGTCAGTCCTCAGGGTGCGTGCCTTATATGTTGCCAGGTCTAGTCATCGTAGGTGGCAACCGAACCTCCACCGGAGATTATTATCATCCCCTGCCCGGCCGTTACCATGGTCGCCACCGTAGCCAGGAATAGCGGAGCCACTGGTGACTGGGGACCGTTTATTAGTGTCGTTGCTCATGGGGGGGGGGGGTATATTGCCATAGTTGCCACGCTTGGCGAGCGGGTTGGCAACCGCAGTTTTTTATTGTTGTTTTGCTGTTATCAGAAAGATGTTGTTGCCCATCTTCTGCCTCAGTTTCCCTCTGTCGCCTCTTATGACGCACACGGGAAGATATGGGGTAGTGGGTATTCTTACCCGCCATTACACGGGATTTTTTCTGTATTTATTTATGTAATTTTAATGGATATTTGCCTATTTGATCTTATGTAGGTCTATCATTATTTTATGTATTTTTTTTTATAGGATTAGGGTGACAAACGAGCACACAGTCCACCTGATGGTAAGTGGTTGCTGCGGCCCATAGACATCTACATCTATCCTCTGTTACAAATCAAAATGTAGATACATTGTCACCCGTGAGGACTAGGATGGAATGTCTCATTTCCAGTAAAAAGGGCCTTCGGCCACCTGCACTCACCAAGCGAAACGCAGAGGTAAACCTCTACTTCACGCTGGTTTTCTGTGAGGTCGTGGTACTACCCTGGTTCGAGCTGGCCCATTCGTGCGACAGCAAAAGCTGCCGCGTAACTCTACCACTGTTAAAATATTTAATGTATATATTAGTGTATTACATATTTTGTAATTTTGTATCGGTTTAGTTTATTTAGAAATTAGATAGTATGTAAGTTTACTGTAATACGCACCACCTACCACTGTCCAATAGTACAAGTTTCTACTTATCTTAAGGTTGTCTGGAAGAGATCGCTTTTTAGGGATAAGACTGATATTATACTTACCTCTTAAGTGTTACTCGCTATAATCTGTTTTACTTTATAATTTTTTTGGTGATCGACGAAGCATGTGTTTTTATACCGTGCATATCGTTACTGTGCATAGTATGATATTATCCTTGAATCAGTCATCCTAATGATCCAAAGTATGTGTACCAAACGCACCAAAGTCATGCAGGCAGACCGACTCCATCCCATTCACATAAGTGATCTACACGCTGATCTGACTAAATCAGCCATCCTAACGACAGTTTAGTCAATTATTTTATTTGATGAAAATAAGTTTTTAGTTCGAATCTCAATATTTGTAGATCAAGTCGTAAGAAAAAGCGTTGATAGTTGGGCGTACGTAAAAATAATGTACTATAAGGCAATGAGGGATGACTGTATATGACTGTATCAATTCCAAATCATTGCAGATCGGTATAGTGGGAAGAACGGGAGCGGGTAAATCATCGCTCATATCGGCTTTGTTTCGCCTGGCGCCCATTGACGGCCACGTGTACATCGACGATGTCGACACCGGTGAAATCGCTCTGAAGGTAAATTGTAAATGTTCGTTATTTCTTTATAAAACTGAATTGACAAACGAACTTACAGCCCACCTGATTGTAAGTGGCTATAGTACTGCAATCAACTTCAAACGAAGAAGGCGACAATTAATCGCGTTGGAACCTCAAAGCATTAAGATGGAATGCCTGTACAATAACAGGCAGGCTGTGCTGTTATTATACTGGCTCTCTATGCCCGGAACACAGCAGTGCAAACACTGCTATTTGGCGGCAGAAATAGGTAAGAGTAAGAGGGTGGAACCTTCTCAGACGAGTAGGTATCAATCTCTTACCTATTTCCTAGTATCTTAGTTTTTTTTGTCTAGAGGTACGTCTAAAAAAGCAATCTTACCGCCTGGTATTTCACTAGTTGCTGTTTCAAACTTTTCAAATTCAGCGATGGTTTAGTACCACACTTTAATTTTATCACGTATTTAGTGTTTTCGTGTATATTTATTGCGGAAAACATCTAAGTAAATATGTTACCTTAGTCACAACTAGCGACATCTGGTGAGTGTAAGATTATTAGCCCTTATCCTCTGAACTGGTAGGCATAGATACTACATAGATAGTTAAAGGTTTTTTTATTTGAAAATCTATACTAAAGAAACATCAGTAAATTTTTGTAAGTCAAGTAGGGTACCTATAAGGCCATGCAGATATGAAACTCAGTCATTTTAGAAGATTGTTTTCTATTTTACTTAATTATTTCGAATGACAATTGCAGGAGCTTAGATCCAAGATCGCCATCATTCCTCAGGAGCCGGTGTTATTCTCCGCCAGCTTGCGATACAACATGGATCCATTTGACAAGTACACTGATGCCGATATATGGCAGGCGTTAGAACAGGTATACTATGCTTCTAGTTATGTACTAAAATACGAAATTATAAGAGTGAAGAGGATTATTGCAATCGCAATATACGAGTATGTATTTTTTATATATATTTTTCATCTTTATCAGCCCCTAATCACTGAAACATAGGTCTCTCTCCCATGAGACAAAATTTTACATTGCTGCGTCGCCGGTCTGAGGAATTGTGAATCATCAGCATAACTGCACGGTAAAGGTAAAACAGTGGATTAAAATTTCACACAATTTATATTTTAAAAGATAAAGTTTAAAAGATAAAAATCTCAAATTAAATTAGATAAAAAAATGTGGACTTTTCTCCTTATTGCACATTTATTTAATTCATCTAATTTATCAATCGTGCATAGCCGAACACTTTTTTTCACGCGTGATTTTAATGTGTTATTTTTCTTTTCTTATTTTATAAACTGTATTTTCAGAAACACCACATGCACTTACTGTTTTTAATAATGCGCTCTTCACAGGCATATTTAAATCACACAGTTTAAAGTACTTAAAAACATTGTAAATTATTCGTCTTTCTCCGCAATGAATTATCGATCTACTTTTATTCTCACTAATAGGTGAGGTCTGGCATATAGTGTACTATCAATGGGTGAAGTATTCATTTTTAAAATTTAGTGTAGGTAACTCGCACATAACACAACCGTTTAACACGAAGATCTGCCTTCAACTGGTCACTGTTAACTTAGCTTTCTAATTTTCGGCGACCTGATTGGTCGGGGAATGTGGCTAGGCCAACGGACAACGATGACTCACTATTTATTTAAAGCGTCTCCCACACAAAAGCGACTTGCAATAGCGGCCGCGGTAACGGCCCGTTGTATTCGCTTACAATGTAAGTGAGTCTGCAAACGTGCGGCCGCAAGCCCCGCCCTCTCCGCCACCACGTGTTGGCGAGCCGCCACGTATCAGATAATATGAAATCTTTCTGATATATCCCATAAGCGCCTTTTCAAGGACAAAATACTCATTTCGTACTTTAAAAGCCTTAAAATCGTTATGGAATTCCTTGGGTAACTACTACATGGTAATATGCTGAATAAATTTAGGTTATTTACAAGTTAAAGTTGGTAAAAAATTACTTCGCGTACATCCGCTCGATAAAATAAAATTATGTGTCTGACCTAGTTTGAAGAGCACCCCCCGTCCTCCCTCAATTGCGTGCACTATCACCGTCACCACTAATCCCAGCACCACTACTCCCAACACCACTACACTAGGAAAGAGACACCACTAACGACAATACGACACGTGTTTCGCCTCTACATGAGGCATCTTCAGGTAATCTAGACTCTGCGGTGGCTGACCGCTAAGTGTAATTTAGTAAGTTAGTATTTTTTTACTAACTTTAATATAATGGACTTCCGCAAAGTAACGCCTGATTCTTTTAATTATCTTATTTACAAATGTAAAAAAATTATTAACTAGAAAACCTGTTTTGTTATTAGTTTTGGTTCCAACACTCTAATTTTGACCACAATCTCTAATATATATATATATATATATATATATATATATATATATATATATATATATATATATATATATATATATATATATATATATACATCAAATCAGTCTCAAATTATATGAAATAACTGATACATTTTCGATATGGTGAAGTAAACGTGAGTATTTGAAAATAATAAATAAGAAACAACAAAAGACATTGGAAATTTCAAGGAGCGGATTATCTGTCTCTTTTACTCACTCCTAACCAAGTTCCGAGTTTACTTCTTACCCCTCAGGCGCGGCATTCATAGGCGCAAGGCGATCAATGAACGCGTATTATTTTTATCTATGAACACATAGAGAAAAATAGTGCTCGTTCATTGACAAAAATAAAATTGTTTAACATAGCAAGTGTATAAAATTGATTAACTAGAAAAGCTGTTTTCTTATTAGTTTTGGTTCCATCGCTCTGATTTTGTTCACAATCTCTAATTTTTACAATATTTTGAGATGTACTGCAAAATAAAACAATAAAACTATTATAGAAAAATTAGGCCATTCAGCAATGAAATAATGATAACTTTTTTGTTTAATTAAAAATTCTTTATTTTTTGTTTTTAAATCTTCATTCATGACATTATTTTTCAAGCTAATTGGCATCAAGGATCTAGTACTTTCTAACACCACAGTATCCTACGCTTGGATGAAAAATCTTGTCTCATAGAAATTTGCAACTTTTTTTTACCTAACAAAACAACTATTTTTTCTAAAGAAACTGTTCACGTTCTTGGGAAACTGCTATAAACATGCAGTTACACATCTAGTCAGAAACGATATGTAATAAAAAAAAAACGTGTTCGCTATTTCAAAGGGATATCATAAACTACACGTATTAAATGATAAATTTTGGATAAAATTTCTGATTCAGATTTATTAAAAAGATGATTTTACGTAAATTATGGACTGTATGAGGCGTGAGAGTTTACTATTTCGCGATTCTGCAAATGTTCTTAAATTCGGGCTACAGGAAGGATGTAAAGGAATGCATTTGCACTCACCTGGACTTCTGCTAATCTCCCTCGTGTCCCCAAGCTTACATCCACGATAGTTGAACGCCAGCTGTCTTCACACATATAAACTTCACATACTGTCGCGAAATATAGCGTTATCATAAACTTCTATATATTTTATTATGTTCTTGTGTAGTTCAATATTTAAACCACACAAATGCAGGAGTGATTACGCGAGATATAGGCGGTGCGGATGTTTTCGTGTCTTGTGAGCACCCCGTTTAACACTAGAGTGCATATGCAGGGCATAAAAGGCGGTAGATAGGAAATCTAAAAATGGGCTTTGCAGAACTCTCATTGGATAATAACTAACAAATCTCATAAGCATTAGGAGGTAGTTGCAAAGTGATGCGAACATTCCCGCGGCATTGAGGTATCCTCAAATAGCGAAAGAAAATATAAAATAATATACAGGGTTATTTTTCAAAGAGTAGCCAAATTTTATATTTAAATTCGAATAAATAAATAGTTACATGAGGATATTACATTTTTTGAAAATACGAGTAAATAAGGCTTCTAATTTTCTTTGAAATCATTCCATATTGAATGTAATTTATATGCAACAACTACGCGTACGCGCGCTCATGTGTGTGTGTGTGTTCACAAAGTTTTTGCCTACTGTTTAAGTTTTTTAGTGACACGCTTACTACTAATGATTAAAATAATAACTACATGACGCAAATTATGATTCCAACTTTCCTTTTATACTTTTAACGGGCTAAAGATCGCCATATAAATCTAATATAATATTTTTTTGCTTATGCATAACGTTTCCGACGATTGTCCTTATTACGGTGCATTTAAAAAACAAGTAATCATAATATCGAATATTGATACCGCAAAATGAAATCCGTTTCTCTTGTGGGGATGTGAATAACGTAAATAGGTTTTACATAATTCGCCTGACGGCATCGGGTGACCAGATCAACTGGCGAGACGAGAAAAAGCAGATCTGGTTGCTCCTACGCAGCCAAGAGCTTCCGAAGATTGTCGAACGGTCACGGGTCAACGGGCCACAATCATAGACGAGCACGTTTTCTTAAAATATTTTTTACACTTATTACCTATTCTTGAGCACTTATAACTTCCATGATAAAAGACTAATGGTGAATGTTTCGGTGAGTTTGCAGACCATAGTGGGCCTCCGTGCACAAACCACCTATCTTTATATTATCTCTCACTGCACTTGAATTTTTTTTTATTCAATATAGATTACATGTGTAATTCTTATTAAAAGTCATTTTTTACTTTTTTTTTTTTAATTTATTTGAACCATAAACAAGTTTACAATATATCTTATGCTAAAGCTTATGTTCTATTACAATTTATTACTTATCATAAACTCAACGACGATGGTCACATATAGAGTATAAAACATATAATAATTATGTGAGGGACCTAATTTTTGTAAAAATAAAGTATCTTAATTTCTAAAATGTTGTTTTATATGTATTAGAGGTTAAAGTTTTGTGTGTTTGTGAGTTAGGATGTGTGTGCGTGCATGTACATATATAGTCATTGGTTAGATAATTTATAGTTAGTGTTAGTAGTTAATGTGTTCAAGACTTTAAAAGAGACATTTACCGCCTTATTCCAAAACGCGGACTTAATATAGTACTGGAGTTAGTAATATATTTAAACCATAAACTAAGAAAAACGTTATTACAAAACGAAGATTATCTCTGGTTCAAGGATTATCTATGGTATTAAAGTTAATCTTTCGAGACCCCTAGTTTAGCTATGGTACTAACCTTTCTATATAGTTTGTGGTACTCTATACTAACCTCAATTTCGGTACTTCTTAATTTGAGGTGAGCGTTGTTTTCATTTGGTGTTATTAAAATCGTTAAAAATGGATATTAACATGATTGACTTGATGGATTTAGAAGATTTGGACATGCTAGACACCACTCGGCGACCTGATAGACATCGACATCGTGTGAATCCGTTTGAATTGAGTGACGAAGATTTAAGGTATAAGTATAGGTTCTCAAAACGTTTCGGAGAAAAAATAGTGGGTATCTTACGTGAGGATTTAGTGCACGACCCTCGAGGATGCCCATTGAGTCCTGAAATTCAAGTGGTTTGTGCATTACGCAACTGGGCTCGCCATGAAGTAAGTGCTGTTTATAATCTTGGTGGGGTCAATGTACCTAACATTACGCTAGATAAAAAGCCAAATAATACATATTATTGTTTTATTCGTAGATTCAAGACGATACAGCTGATTTACATGGTGTGTCTCAACCAGTAGTAAGTAGGACATGTAAAAAAGTAGCGGAAATTTTGTCACGGAAGTCCCGAGAATTTATTAAAATGCCTATTACTTTAAATGAACAGCAGGAAACCATTAGGAAATTTCGCAGTATTGCTAATTTTCCTACAGTAATTGGCGCAATTGACTGTACTCACATACGAGTAAAGAAAGTGAATGCTGATGGGGGTCAGTTA